AACTTGTTGAGAATTCCGAATCAGCGGATGATCCTCCTCAAAGCAAAAGGCTGCGAGGCGATCAATGGTCAGTGAAAAGCCATGATCCACCAAGACGCATTTCCACAAGTCGGTATTCTCTAGGGTGAGGCGGTGAGAGAAGCACGATCCCGATCTCGAATGGCTCCGCAAACACAAAGCTCTACTACCTCAAGGTCAGGTTCAATTAGTTGTATTACCTAGTACTTTGGGGGGGGAAAGGAACAATGCGCAGTCGGATGCGTACAAGCAGTACATTCATTGATTAGAGCCCAAAGGACTACGGTCACATGGAAAGTCCTGCCGCAGTGTACAATCCTTGCGCGAGCATTCTGGCATTCCTTCAACATGCCTACCAGGCATCATCTCATTGACCCTCTTGAGAACTGAGCGAGGGAGCAAGCCTCCACCAAGACGGCCAATGCTGGCAGGTACCCTGATGATCGCTCCGGCCCTCCTCGACCACGTCAAGATTGAAGTTGAGAAGGATGTCCAGTTGCAGAAGAACATGAGGAAGGCTTGTGAGGAGAGGGACATCCAGCGGACATTTTTCCCTTGCCCAGCACCGGTTCTTCGGCGAGCCCTGTTTGTTTCTCTGAGGCGATTGGAGAGGAGAGGACATCAAATAACTATGGCGGAGGAGGCGATGGTTTTTGACAATTCAGTGCAGATGTTGGGCCCTCCTCCAGAGGGGTTGACTAGCTCAGAGGCGCTGCGGCAGCTTCGAGCTTTTGATGGTTATGGGGAAGACCAGACCCCGTCAACTGTCAAGCCCTATGACCCGAAACTCCTCTCGGTGCCAGAGAAGGGGAACGTTCTAGTCCCTTTGGCCGACTTGTTGGGGGAGGACGGGCAGATGATTGTGGGCGAGTTCATTCGCTCGAGACTCTTGAGCGAGGATGAGGCGCGAAGACAACTGGTGGGTTGCGGGGTTGAGTGCTACACGGATCCAAAACTGCGTGACCCTAAGGTGCACAGGAATTTCGTGGCCAGGTTGTTCGAGGCGGCGCTGGTGGATTTCGCAGTCAGCCCTCCTTGTGAAGAGGTTGGCGCTTTCTTTGTCGGCAAAAAAGGATGGGCGTCTTCGCGCGGTGGTGGACTGCAGGAGGAGCAACGCACACTTCAGCACCCTCGATAGGGTCGCCCTCTGCGCAACGGGCTTAGTCGAATTGAGCTGAGTGAGGATGCAGTGCTTCAGCCACATTGTCTTTGGGGCTCAGTTCGCCGAGAAATGAGTATCTGAATTGGAGTCGCTCCTCTTATTTGGCGGGATTTGATTATTCCATGGAGTTCAGAAGTCACGGCTGTTGATGCTTCTACCTGGGGCCTTGGGGCTACTACTGCTTCCTACGACCGGGAACGGGTACAACAACTGGGGCGTTTTTCTGAGAGATGGAGGCTTGATATTCCCCACTTCAGCAAGCCGCGTGCAACTGCCTTCGGCTACTCGACTGTGACCGACGGTGAGGATGCCGCGGCGCTGGAGTGGGCGTACGCTGCTCAACCCGGCGAGGCCTGGCCTGAGCCGCTACGCGTCGTTGAGCTGAAGGAGAAGTTTTTAGCCCTGTTGCCAAAGAGGACGTGCTCCAGCAGTGGACTGCCACTGGTCGTTTCAAATGGGCTCGAAAGGAGGCCATCCCCGTTCTTAAAGCTCGGGCGTCCCTGTATGCGGTCAATCATGTTCTTCGCAGAGCTGACAACTTTCACAAGCGGCGTCTTGTGTTGTCGGATAGCACTACTGCAGTGTGTTGTCTTGATCGGGGACGAGGGAAGCGGTTCAAGATGAGGGAGGGTTTCTCAACAGGTCGGTGCCCCGCGTTTGAGCACCGGGAGCAGTTTCCGCTGGATACCGAGCGATGATGGGCCGGTCCCCCCGGTCTTGAAGCCGGCCAGCAAGAAAGCGAGTGCGCCACAAAAACGGCTCAGTCTCTCAGTGTCAGCGTCCCTGCAGAGGAGACAGCAGTTGCGAATCCTTCATCCGGCGGAGGAGCACGTGCTGTCAAAGACGGCCAAGTTCGACGAACCGTGCTGTTCGATCTCGAGCAGTTTTGGTTCATTCCGGAGCAACTCAACCGGTTACTGAGGCTGCCGTGGAGGTCACCCCAAGAGGCCATGTTCAAGGTGACTGTCAAGGAGGTCGGGGCAGCAATGGCAACGGAGGCAGACGAGTTGAGGATGGTGAAGGCGATTGGGCCTCCCCACCCTTACAGGCTTCGACACGGAGGGCCCAGCCTCGACTTCGCAAAGAGGTGGCGGACCTTGGTGGAGATTCAGCGAAGAGGAAGGTGGAGGTCATTCGGGAGCGTGAGGAGGTACGAGAAGGGTGGAAGGCTGACGCAGCAGCTGCAGGCTTTGCCAAAGGCCACACGCGAAAGCGCCATCCTCGCCGCGGACCAGATTGCGTCAAAGCTCCGGTCCCAGGCCTCGCCTGCTCAGTAAGATTGACGGTCGCGGTTTTTATTGAGATTTTCAGTGGAGTCGGGAACCTTGCCAAAGCAGTCGCCCGCGAAACAGGGTGGCCGACCTTGCTGTGGGACATCACGCTCGGCAGTGAATATGACCTGCGCAACGCTAGCAAAAGGCGAATGTTGGGGGAGTGGATCAAATCTGGGGCTGTTAAAGGTTTTCACCTCGGTACACCATGTGAGAGTTTTTCAAGGGCCCGTGATCGTCCTCCAGGACCTCCACCACTGCGCTCCGACAAGCAGCCTCTCGGTTTGGGTTTCTTGAAGCCGCACGACGAGGTCAAGGTCCTTCTTGGGAATCAGATGATGCGTTTTTCAGCCTGGCTTTTGAACCTCGCCCTTCGTTTCCATATACCCGCAAGCATGGAGAATCCAGCCCGTTCTCGTATTTGGTTGTGCCCACCTTTACTGGCACTGAGACGAAGGCGGCATGTTTCATGGCATGTTACGCATAACTGCGCCTGGGGAAAGGCTTTCAAAAAACCAACTGCTTTTCTTGCCGCGCGCCTCAATTTACATCGACTAGACACCGCTGTCTGCATTGGCGCAAAGCGTGGTTTCTGCTGGTTCACTGGCAACACCCACATTCCTCTTTGTGGTCAAGATGAACATGGCAACTGGTTGACTAAGCTGGCACAGACCTACCCTGCCCGCATGCGCACGGCCATTGCCAAATGTTTGAAAGACACGGACGTGGAACAGATTGCCAGGCAGTTTGAGCGCCATGTCAATGCGAGTTCGGCGTAGCCAGCTGGCATGCAATTTTGGGGTCAAGACGGCAAGGGATGTGCAAATATGGGCCGCTCTTCATTTCAGGCACCTTTGAGGCTGAAAAACAGCCGGAGGTTGTGGCCTGAACTTGGAGTTCGAGTCTCTCCCTGGCCGAAAAGGTGGCATGTGCGGATCATAATCTTGACACCAAAGGTCAACAGAAATTTGTGCAGCTTTGTTCTGCAGACAGTTAAGAATTTTGGCAATCACTTTACACACATGCAGCATTGTGGCTCAACACAGGGACTGCTACCACAATTCTCTTCTCCCCAATTCGGGATGGAAGGGAGGGTAAAGGAGCCCTTTGCAAGTACCATGGGAAAGTTGCAACATCCTGAAGCAATGCGCAAAACCAGCGAGGAGTTCCGAAACGACATAAACGCAATGGCACAGAACTCCGGGAAGCTTTTGGTTGCGCCGGCGAAACGAGGTTGAGATGCCTTGTCCAAAACCCATTCCCACAAATCATCGCAAACACATTGAGAAATGGAAGCGGTCCATAACAGAACTGCGTAGAAATACGCCCTCAGAAATAGTGCATGAACGCTGGGTACGGCACGCCGGACAGCCTAACGAGTGTGAGGCATCACTGTCAAACCTCATTTTCCAACGGAAGCACAAAACAATGTGGAGATACAGCGCGCCGCCAAACACATGCCCCAAATGCTCAATCACAGTAGCGCGGCATAATTACATGGTGTACGGTATGTGTACCGCTTACCTTAGTCGCCCAAAGCAGAACAATCACATACGCTCCAAAAATGCGGAAACTCTGGGCGCTGGGTGGCGTCAAAACGCACTGCCACTGGAAGACACCACGGCACACGCAGAAAACGCGCAATGCAGAATCCTCACTTCTATTGTCTCCTGCAATAGGGATGGCGGATAGGTTTCCCGCCTGGCCGCACTTTGCGGGTCGTAGCACGGCACATGGACTGACAGGTGGAAGAAGACCTCCTGGCGATCTTGGCTGGATCGTCGTATGCGGTCAAAGATGTCTTTCGCGTCTAGCAGTCTCAGGCTTATTGATGTGCTGCTGGGTTGCAGGTGACAATGTTCCATGTTTTTCGAGACATGCCATGCCATCAGTCCGGCTTTCATGCATCAGAGCCCTGTGGATTGACTGAGCCATTTGGGACCTGTTCACTGTGCCAGTGTGCTGGGAGAGCAGTTGCCAGTCTCCTGGGAAGGTTCTTACCGGCTGTTGCATTTGTTGCAAGATGCAATGAGCCCTGCTTGGCTGCTTCATTTCTGCTTCCCCATGCAAGGAAATGTGCCGCTGCTCGACAACTGCAGCGCAACTGAGGCAAACCCTGCATCAGCTGGCCGTGCCCGGTTACAAAATGCCAGGGCCGCTGGCCGTTTCACCTGCAAACCCTTGAATAACAAGGGCGTCAACTCCATCGCATGGTGGGCCGTGGGATTTAGCGTGTGCATAGTCAGCTAAAATCAGCACCCAACACTCACCAACTCCTTCTCTTCGTTTGTTGCAAGAACGTGGCAGAAACTTGCAATGGCATGAATGGCAACAGCCTTCTATGTTTCAACGCGACGCAGAGAACAGCCAAAAGCGGTGGTCTTTTCTTTGGATTCATCCGGAGGACCAAACGAATCAGGCGAATCCCTTACAATGAGTCAATTCCCCGGTCCTCCGCAATCCGAAGTTGACAGTTGACAGTACCTTCTTTTGATCATTGATTGCAATCACCAAGAGGTCACAAACTCTTGACACCACACCTCACGCAGGCAAACCCAGGAGAGCGTGGCCAAGGTGGCGATTATTGGGACGCATTTGAGGCGTGTGCGAGGCACGCGCCAGTGCCTGCAGCTCAAGATGTGCGACTTGTGCAGACAGCAGCGCCTGCCCGACTTGATCTTCATCAGCCGTGTGTCTCAGTGATGCGTGGGTGGCGTGCACAGCTGTTTGCCGGGCTTGAGCACGGGTTTGCTGACTAACTTGAAGATTTTGAAGTTGTCGCGCCCTCTTGGGCAACTTCCAGTGGGCTGGCGCAGCAATGCACGCAGCCCGACGAAGACAAACATTGCATCATCAGTACCCCTTTTCGTTGTGTGCTATCATCCTTGCACGTCAGGTTCCGCTGAGGAGCCGCAATTTTGGAGCACATTTACCCTTCCGTGAAGCTTGATCAGATTGTGCAATTCCCAACGTTTACTCGTGTCATTCTTTATATGCTTTTGGCTGCATTCGTCCACACCCGGCCCTGGGCCGAGGCAGCGGTAATACAGAGCTCTCCAAATAAACATCAAGATAATGTTTGAGGCAACTTGCTTCCGAATCCGCAGCTGTCCCGAGTTTGATTGATTGAGCTGGCTCGCTGGAAGCCTGCTGGACTCTTGCAGCCTCATGTGACATGATAGGTTGGATGACTCACTGCGCGCGAAGCAAGGCCTTGCCGGAGGCAGGCTCGATTCACAGCAAATGCAAGAATTGCCGAATTACCTTCATTTGTTAGGCAATTTCCTGTCAGACAGTGCATCGCGTGATGGTTCCTCGCACCTTGGCAGAATGTCGCACGGCGTGCGAGCCAAATGCACTGGCCACCCAAGGTACTGGGATGAATATCGAAGCAGTGGAGCAGGAGCTGAACCTGAGACGTATGGTGTTTGGGCGTCACATGGTTTTAGACACCATCCAACGTGTCAACACATGCAGGCCGACAAAGTGCTCCGTCTGAGCCAGCCCCTGAGAAGCTCGTTGCTTGATCCTTGCAGGTGTTTGTTGCCGCACCTTGATTCCATGTTTCATATTTTTGTTGCTGCCTCGTCGTTCGCCGTTTCGTGCTCAGGAAGAAAGTGCCTGAAAAGCAGGATGCAGCTGCCAACTGATGCAAGAGTGTGAGAGAGATGGTGGCCGAGCTCCTGCGGTGCTGGCTGTAAGACTTCTGAGTGCGTCTCAATGGCAGAAGCCAGGGCTTGGATTAAAGGCTTGGCTTACAGCACCATGCCACATTCAGGGTTGTGACAGCCCCTTGTTCACTTGCGTTTGAGCTTCTGGTTTGTCAACACAATGTAGGGTCGTGCTATCTCACCCTCCTCGCAGGGTATGCTGTGCCTAGACTGGTTCTCAGCGGCCCCGGCAGGAGAAAGACCTCAAGCGGGTCAACAGCGGTGCATACTGGGATGCGGAGCAGTGGGATCCAGACCAGCGTGGCAGCCCCCAGCTGCTGTCAGCCACGCATGCGAACCGCACACAATGACATGTGACACTGACTGCTTTGGAGGCAGCACGCAAAATTCGGGTGAGGTGTGTATGTCGGTGCGGAAGCTGGAATGCAAAACCACTTGCAGGCGGGCCTTGTTGCCTTGTACCTTTCTTATCGTGTTGGCCAGCTGCCGGGGCCAGTCTGAAAAGTTTTAGCAAAGCCAGGCTGTGGATCCAACGAAGGATGAAGTGACTGTGTGGCGGGCATGGGCTCGCGGCTTAGCATGGGCATGAGAGCGTAGAGAATGTCACGCCCACTGTGGGCAGTGCCCATGACGTTTGTTGTGGGACTTGGACTCTGGGTTGTGGGTGCGGAGCATCCCTCGAGCAAGTTCTAGGCTGGCGGCTTGTCGAGCCAGACGTTGGGGCACGATGGCGACACGGGCCCACTGCCTGAGCCACAGAAATTGCCAGCACGGAGTGAGCCTTGCAGCCAGAAATCTGCATGACTCCATCCCACCCGTCGTGGTTTGGACGAACTGCCCTTTGCCGGAGCCGTTTGTTCTGTCTCGGGGTGTCACTGCTCCAATGGCAAGCACGCCGCAATGCCGAGCCATTGGAACCAGGCACAGACTGAAGTTGTTTGCAGGAGTTGTTAGTTCTGTTGCATTGGGTGCAGGACAGATTAAGCAAGCAGCTTGAGACAACACTTTGCCGTGATCCAAATGTTGGGTACCTGAGAATGGTATTGAGTTGCGCCGGCAGAACCATGCTTAAGTGACTCAAGCGGCTGCAAACGCAACCGCTCTAGACTTGCTCTCACCCTGCGCCGTTCCTTTTTCGGCAATGGCAAGCAAGAACCATTCCGAAGAGCCGAGCCTGTGGAATGATGATGATGACAGCGCTCGGGTTGGAAGGTTCTTCGCACAGATGAAGATGAAGTGGGACTCCTTTTTGGCTGAAAAGCTTGGCAAGAAGGACCAGCTCTCAGATGAAAGCCAGAAGATGAAGGAGATTGCTGCAATTATGCGGACATTCGACAATGGCGTTGTAGAGGAGGAGGAAGATCAGGACAAAATTTGGGTAGACAGTGCAGCCTTTGACATAGTCATCAGCTGCATCATTGTCCTCAACGCTTTCATCATTGGGCTGGAGACTGACGTTCGCCGTGCATCAAAGGAAAGAGATGCAGGATGGGTGGTGGCGGAAGTCTTCTTCCTTCTATGCTTCTTGGGTGAAGTCGGGCTTAAGATGTACTACCACACTTGGCGCTGGGCTTTCTACAGCTTTTCAAACATGCTCACGATTTTCATTTGCTTTATGGCCTTCATCGACTGCACCATTCTGAACCCCATAGGAGTGTCTGGAGTTCTGCGGATGTTCTCTATGTTCCGAATAGTTGGCATCTCCCGGCTGTACAAGCTGATCAAAAGGTATCGTCGTTTGGATGAGCTGCGGCTGCTGCTTCAAAGTCTCAAGGACTCAATGCAGACGCTATTTTGGACTGTGGTGTTGCTTGTGGTCGTTCTGTACATTGCGGCTGTGATCCTCACGCAGCAGATCGGTCACAATGTGGAGGTCTATGGCAACTATCGCAAGCTGAGTGGTGGGTGGGATCACGAAGAGCTCTTTGGGACTGTTGGGCGGAGCATGTTCACGCTCATGCAGGTCATGACTCTGGACAGTTGGCTCAGCAAGGCGGGGCCGAAAGCCGACCTGAGTTTCACCAGTAGGGGGTATTTCAGATGTGGTCCCTCGTGATTTACTGCAGACTGATTATCTGATTTGAACGACCTGTGTTGAACTGTCCTTTTGACAGAACTCCCCAGGTAGTGCGACATGTGGCCGTCAATCAGTGGTACATGATCGCCTTTTTCTGTGTGTTTCTCCTCATCACAACATTCGGCATCATGAATATCCTGGTTAGCGTCATCGTGGAGCAGACGTTGGCAGCGTCCCTTCAGAACAAGCAACGCTTGCGAGTTCGGGAGGAGAAGGCTCAACGTGCTGAACTAGACAGTATCAAGGAGATCTTTTTGATTTCGGACACAGATGGCAGCAACAGCCTTGATCGAGAGGAGTTCCTAGCTGCCGTGAAGAACCCAGAGGTGCAGTGGCGCATGAAAATGCTCGAGCTCCCGGTGGCAGAAACTGTGAAGCTCTTCGGCGTGCTGGACGGTGACGGCTCGCAGACTTTGAGCTACACGGACTTTATCCAGGGCTGCGCCAAGCTGAAGGGTCATGCCATGAGCAAGGATATGTTGGCAGTCATGGCCCAGGCATCGTGTTGAAGGAGATGCACTGTGATGCAAATTAATGTCTCATGTTTTCGTTTCCTGTAGCACAATGCAATCTAGCACGTCAAGTCGATCGCACTGTTGGCATTGCTCATGCTATTGGCAGGCTGACGCTCTCGCAACCAAGATGGACCTGATGGATGATTCCCTTGCGGAGAGCGAGCGCATGGTGGCAGGGCTCGATGAGATATCTTTGCGCATTGTCCGCCGCTTCGACTCTGCAATTCTGGGCTCCCGCCGCCGAATGGCACACGCTGCTGGCGGCTCCAAGCCCATCATTCCTCCAAAGAGGGACGGCGCTTCAGGTGACAATGTTCCACTTTCAGTGGGCAATCGGCCAAATCTGCCGCCGTTCCCTGACCTTTTGCGTTGATGAACGGCCAGTTCGAGGAAATCTGAGATCATCGTGGTTGGTCTGTTTCACCGTCTCACACGTCCAGCAGCTGTTGCTTTGAGGCTTGATTGGCTGGGCATGGGTGGCCTTTCCCACGTTCTTCACGTTGAAGGTCAGTGGAAGGTCTGGACTGTAAATGCGTGCGCAGCTTTTGGCTTTCGCTGAACAGTGGCGCTTGCACTGCATTTGTCAGGTGATTGCGGCGTAGGACGCGCCGGCTGCAAGGCACACTTGAGCCATTTCGCTTGCCAGGTTCAGGGCGGAAGCTTCCAAGTGAGTGCAATTTGCACTGGACGAGCTAGCCACGCATTCACACTGAGGGTCAGGGGTTTGACCTCAGTGACAGGAAACAAAAGGAGGTGCGGCGTTGCTTGCTTTGAGCGTGTCGCCAGCGGATTCTTCCAAGCTTTCCTCTGGTGATGGCTTGGGCCACAGCAGCACTTGCAAAGATGGGGCTTCATTAAGTGACACCCGAATTCCGAGCTTTTGTTGCTCGTGTTGCACAGTTTTGCTACATGTTTGATTCTTAGACTAAGAGTTATTTGCGATGAGAATCGGCAAGGATTGACCTCAGAGAATCCAGCGCAGATGCCAAAGTGAAACTTGAGGCAGGTTGCCATGTTACTTGTGCAATTTATGCCACCATCATGAACGTGAATCAGTGATCGGCCGGGCAGTTGTGACAGTGAGAGCTGGCAACATGCTCGCTTTCTGATCATCCACCTGTTTTTGTGCCGCGCTAGGATCTTTATGAGGTCCTGGAGGAGTCCTGCCTTGAGACTTGATTGACTTGATGTTAGGCAGGTTCTGAGGCTGCAGCAAAGGGTTTTTGCCAGTGCCATGACTTTGGCACCTTTGGTTCCAAGCAGGGTGCAATTTGTGAGGTCTGTCGGCTGCGGCAGTTTCGGGGTGGTGCGGAGGTGTCGGCACAAAGGCACAAGTGCTGCCAAAGCATCGCTTAAATTGACTCATGGCCATTCGTACAGGTAGAGGCATGCGTTAAAAGAACCCAGGGAAGTTTAACGAGAACTGTTTTAAAGACTGGATGTAATGCGTGTGAAATGCCTGGGCAAGTTACGAAGAAGGTGGAACATGCGAGAACTGCGGATAGAAGCGAGCCCAGCGTGGCCCTGCGCGTGACTTCGGCTCTTCTGCATGTGCGGGCACGTTAGCGCGCTGCTTCACAGTCTTTAATCAGGAGCCTCTGCGCACTTTGTCCGGGTCGACCTTCAAACAACTCGTGGCGCTTCCTGGTTCTCATATGCTCGCTGTGAGTGGGTCGACAAAAAAAAACTAGTGTGCGCGGAGGGACGGTGGAAGTCCACTCCAAGTGACTGAGTGCCCTGCCCAGTAAAAAGGGCCTCGTGACGCCCACTGAGTTGCTCAGCTCAAAAACGAGGGCGGATATGCTGACTGCTTACTCCATGGTCCATGGCTTGGAAATGTGACAAACTCCTGGACAACGCCACGGTGCCTTTCCATTCTTTAGAGTTCTGGCTTTCCACGGGCCGGACATCGCCCGGGGGTACTACATCGGCGTGTCGCCAGGGCTGCTCTGGGCTACCGTTGAGGTCGCCTTCCCAGTCTACTTCTGCTTCTGCCGCTCCTTACTGCTGATCTGCCCTGCTATTTCGCCCTGCTGTTTTACCCACCGACTTCACAGTCCCTTCCTTTGCGCGAGCCAGCTGCGGACCTTATTGGCCATGATCCAAAAGTGACGTTAGACACCCGTCGAGCTACAATTTGGAGCACTTTTCAGCTCGAAACCTGCCCGTGTTTGAGCCCTTTTGAGGCGTGCCGGCTTGCTTACAGCGGCTTTGCTGGTGATGCCGGTGGCGTTGCTGTTATGCGCGGTCTCTTTCTATATACGATCCAAAAGTGACGTTGGGGCTACAGTTTGAAGCACTGCCTGCCCGTGTTTGGGCACTTTTGAGGCGTGCCTTTTTTCGAGGCCTGCGGCTCGCTTACAAGCGGCTTTGCTGGTGATGCCGGTGATGTTGTTGCTCGATTTCTTTTCTATGAGATCCAAAAGTGTTTCGAGCCGAAAGGGTGTCGACCGTCATGTTTGGATCTTATATAGAAAAGAAGTCGGGTATAGCAGCCACATCGCCGGCATCACCGCAAAGCCGCTTATAAGCGAGCCGCAAGGCCTCTAAAAAACGCACGCCTCAAAAGTGCCCAAACACGAGCCCGGCGGGTGTCCAACATCACTTTTGGATCCTATATAGAAAAGACATCCGGCACAACAGCAACGTCACTGGCATCACCAGCAAAGCCGCTTAGAGCAAGCTGTAAGGACTCGAAAAAAAGAAAGGCACGCCTCAAAAGTTCTCAGACGCGGGCAGGTTTCGATCCGAAAAGTGCTTCAACTCCCGAAAAGAAATCGGGGTTCCTGTCCTTCATTGATGTGAGGAGAAGGGACCATAGTGCGCTGTAGCAGGTCCCTTCGTGGCAAGTCATTGCAGGCTGCTGCCTCATGTTCAGGATCCGCGGCAGGAGCTGGGTCTAATCATGCTCCCAGAGAACCCTCAAGCTTCTCAAGCCTACGGACGCCCTGTCAAAGGGAGCTCTGGGCTTGTTGATTGCTGCGCCATCCAGATCAGCGTTTAGGTGCATCTTCGCCACTGTCATCATGACCTCCAAGTTCGCTGGGAACTTTGCATACCTGACCAAGAGCTACGCCTTGAGAGTCCTTCGAAACGAGTCGTTATGTTCACTATCAAGTTGCCTCTCCAGCACGGGCTCTCATACCTTCTCTTGTCCGGCACGGATATGCGACTTCCTGCCCGGAGGCGCTTGACACGTCTGCAAAATTGCTGTTGTGGTTCGTTCGCGCCGCATGTCGCTGTAGCTCGTCGTGTTGTTGCCCATGCCGCTGCCCAGCGGGAAGCGATTTTCGATTTCCATGATGAGAGCTGAGGAATAGAAGCGGCCCTGTGTGTGTGTGACTTCGTCGCGTGTGTGCAAGCCACTTTTATATAATGTGCTGACCAGCAAACTGACCAACTAGACAAGCTGACACGCTACCTAACTGGCCAGCCAGCCAGCCAGCCAGCCAGCCAGCCAGCCAGCCAGCCAGCCTGCCATCCAGCCAGCCAGCCAGCCAGCCAGCCAGCCAGCAGCAGATGTGATGGGTAGATAGACAGACAGGTCAATAAATGAAGGGAAGTAGATAGACGGATGGATAGATAAATGGGCTGACTTGATGTTTCGCCCGCCGGGCTTAGCTTCGACCGGGCTTGGTCGGTCGGGGGAGGTTGTTGGAGTGAGTGGGCCTGCAGTTGCGGGCAGCCGCGCTACAAGGAACGGTGTCAGTTCACCGTCTCTGCCTGTTTGCCCACAGCGCTTCTGCCACGACCAGTTTTGCCACGGTCTTCCTCCTCGTTTGCAAGGCTCAAGTTGTTTTAGCAACTTGGGCATGTGGCACACACACACACGCATCACGACTTGACATCTCATCACATCCACTACTACGCACACAAAAAAATCAGAGAGAGAGAGAGCGAGAGGGAGAGAGAAAGAACGAGAATGAGAGAGAGAGAGAGAGGGGAAGACGAAGAGGAAGAGAAAGAGGAAGAGCACAGGAAGTGAGAAAGAGACAAAGAGAGAGAGAGAGAGAGAAAAAACAAAATAAATAAAAAGAAAAGAGAGAGAGAGAGAGAGGGAGTGAGAGAGAGAGAGAAGGAAAGCTCCAAACCATAGTTCTTCAATTTTTTGGAGCTGCCGGCCCCCGGAACTTTACTTTACTTGTATCTACACATGTATATGTGCAGAACCCCGTGGCCATGGAAAGATGCTTGCATCAGTACCAACTGCAGTTTGACATTGTGCTCGCAACAAGCCAGATAAGTCAGCTGGCCATGCCTTGCGTCAGGTTCGGGAAGAACGTGCGTGATCAAAAGCGTTCGCAAGGACGCCGCAGGTGAGAGGTACCCCGTCTTATTTGCAAGTGTCGGGCAGCGAGTGCCGGCTTGCTTGCCCAACTTCATGGATGCCTATCGGACGCAGGGGTGGCTTGCTTCATTGCGTGTTTCTTACCAATGTGGGCATGCCTTCTACATTGTTTCTGCCAGCGCCTGGCACAAGCGTAGCTGACAGCAATCTTAACAGATGACCACTAGATTCAGTACTCCACATCTTGGCGACCGTTGCAGGTACCGTGCTTTGTTGGTTGACCGGCATCTTGGTGAGAAGCTTTTGTGGATGTCAAAGGAGGCCATGGCAGTACATTTTTAGGATTTCCAATTCACCACACTTGCTGCTGGAGGCCCAGCACCCCAACATTGCAACCTACCTTGACATGTTGGAGGGCCCGCAGCACTTCTTTGTCGTTATGGAGGCTGGGAGGCTGTTTGCGCTTGTGACCCGCTGCCTCTTGTTCTCTTGAAGGAACTTGCTGGTGCAGAGCTGATGGAGCAGGTGGAGGAGAGGCATTCGCAATTTTTGTCGATTGCTATGTTTCCTTATTCTACGTCACTTCAAATCAATGCTGGTAGCAATGTAATGTTGGTTCTTCCAAGGCATGAGGTGCGTGGGGGGGGGGGGGAGGGGGCGGGGCTGCGCTGCTTTGGTCGGTCGGTCACCAATTCAACAGCCCCGTATCCCCAAATAGAATCATGGTGAAAGGGACTCCTGCTAATTGCAGCAGTCTTTTGGTTTGCCTTGCTCTTGGCGCTGGCTGCGTTTGGCTCAGCTCGCTGCTGAGCAACACTCTCTGAGCAGCTTGTGGTTTGGGTTGTTAATCTTCTGTTTCGAGGAGTGCTTCCCTGTCACCGAGGCCTGGGTTGAACAATGCTTTTGCACATGTGTCCCCCTCAAGTGTAAAGCCTCGATCTGCGGCCTAGAGTATCCATTCTGACCATCAAGCCTGGCAGCGCTTGGGGTAGGAGGGAATCTTGAGCTGATAAAGATCACAAGTGGCTCACAAGGCATACCTGCAGCGTGTGATGAAGCAGATCCTGTCAGCCTTATCGCGCAATGCTCGGCTCGGCTGCTGTTCCCAGACGACACTTCACCTGCTGAGGCATCTTCACAACAAAGTTTGCCTCGTGCATCGAGACGTCACTTGGACGTGTGCATCGGGTTCTTTCCGTTTTGCCTAAAGCTGCTGCTACGTTGTCCGCCTCCGAGCAGCTCCTCTCACTAAGGTGAAGCTATCAAACTTCCGCTTTCGCAACGCAGTCGCTTGCTGGCAATTGTGCCTAATGAGGCCCTCCATTCTATCTTTAAGGCATATGCACATGGATATGTGTTTGTCATGTTTGTTCCATGTGTTTTTCAATGCATTTTGTGTCATGGACACATATTCCACACTTCGAACATCGTCCAACACCATGATTTCGAATATTCGGAGCTCCGTACCATATTATAACTGCCAGCAGCTGAGTAAAAAATGCTGCTACACGGGCAGCAACCTCACGCCTGCACGCCTGCTCATATCAGATGCAAATCATATGCCGTTACGCCAGAAACCCCTCGTATTGACGGGCTGCTTGAAGCATTTAACTTCCCAAAGCGCAAGCTGTGTGTGTGTGTGTGAGTTTGATCCTAGTTCGTGCTGGGCGTGTGCGATCGCTTACGATTGATTCTGCAGTCCTAACACCATGAGCAGATTCGACCCCTGCATCCGACGGTGGCATGCTGAAAGTTGGGCACACGCGCATGTGGAAAATGTGAGCTGGCAACAAGTGAGTTGCAAAGTGAAGCCTGCAAAACCACAAAGGCTAATTCATGATGTCGGTGGCTCATCTCCCAACTTATTCAACATATAATGCACAGTGGCCTAGGCGCCCTAATCACAGAATTTGGTACATCAAACCTTCCCCCGCTCTCACCGCCACCTCCAGCCCAGCACTTTCATTTCCTTTTCATTGCCTTTCATTTCCCATTGTTTCCTTTCGTTTTCCTTTTACTTCCCTTTCATGTCTTCTTCATGATTTCTTCATTTCTGCTTCATTTCTGCTTCATGTCTCTTCATTTCCCATTTGTTGCCCCACGAGTTCCTTCACGTCACTTCCCATCAATTGTCCTGCATTTCCTTTTGTCGTCATTTCCCGCCATTGTCCTTTCATGTCCCTGTAGTTCCCTGTCATTTCCCTCAATTTTCCTTTCATTCTTCGATCACGTTCCTTTCACTTTCCCGGCCTCTCCCCTTCATGCCCTTTCATTCGCCTTCAATTCTCCTTCATGTTCCTGTCATCTCCCCTGCGTTTCCCTTTCAATTCCTTTCTTTTCTTCTTTTTTCCTCTCACTTCCCATTCCTTCATTCATTTGGCTTGATCTGCCTTTCAGGTCCGTTAATTTCTCTTTATATCCTCTTCCTTTCCCTTCATGTCCTCTTCATTTCCCCTTCATTTCCCCTTCAGTTCCCATTAATTTCCCTTCATTGCTCTTTGTTGAACCAAGATCATTCTTTTTCAACCCAGCCTACACGTCATGTTCTACCTCTAGCTTGAGGACGTTTGTTCCAACTGATGTTGTGTCGTGAACATTTTGTTTAAGAAGCTCCCAAAAGCATATTCTAACTTCCGGAGTCGGAGTATAGTTTGTAGTTGGCGACAAGGCAGTGCTGAGGCGGTAGCCTCGTGCGCTGTTGGTGCCATTCGTTGAATACGCGGGCAGGTTCGTCATGATTCTGAACGCCGCACCGTCGGCGCCTTTCAGGGAGTTCGGGAACTATGTTGGCTGTGCCAACAGCAGATGGTGATGCAAGTGCAAGCTCCACACCAAGATCGTTCCGGTTCGTCATGGACATGCGAGGGGCGTGAGATGTGGGAGGGCTGGGGCAGTGGCAGAAAATCGTCTAGGTCACCTTCATCGCCAAAGTTGAAACTGAGAGGAAGGGCAAGTGACCCTGTTGCACACGCGCATCATGAAGCTCAAGGGCGGAGATATTGCTGGAGGAACGCGATCAGATTACGGTGAACGGAGAAGTGGCTGCCCAAGCGGAACGATAGTCAAGCTGCGCAACCGGCAAAGCACACTCTTTACCGAGCTGGAAAAGAAGGAGGGTTGCTTGAGGGATTCGCGATGAAGCCCGTGCTCATCGAGACGACGCCAGTGATGAGAAGCAGATCGAAGCCAATCAGGCATTGGTAACAGCGCTTGTGATCACGTATGGGTTCGGGATGCGTCTTGTTTCCTGTGTACAAAGATCCGTTGACTGACGCGCGTCTTGGATCAGTTCCGAGTGCCGCGTCTCCATACGGCGGCGGCAGTGGAAGTTGCTTTGGCGGTGGAATTTCTGGTCAAGGAATCGGGCAAGTCCGGAGGCGGAGGATGACGGCGACGGTGATGAGGCCGAGGATGAAGAAGAGGAAGATCCTGGGAGTTGAGAAGACAAGAGCATCGAGGAAGGAAGCGGAGAAGGTCATCGTTCCACTCTGGCCACAGCTGGACAACTGGAGGAGGGTGCTCACTACGAATCGTTGCTGGTCCGGATGCTGAAGCTTTCATGGTCAACCCCGACCTTGATCAACTACCCAACTCTGGCGACCCTAGATTTGCAACGCTTGACATTCAAGTGCCAACCGCTCTGCAGGCAATGTTGCGCAGTGCTCAAAGACGTATTGTTGGATGTAACTCGCCATGGTCGTGCTGAACAGCGACTGGGCGGGTGCGCGTGAGCCGGTGAGTGCATGTGGCAAGCATGGGCACGGTGCTGGGCGAGTGTGCGTGAGCGGGCCTGCTTTTCATGTGGCAGGCGTGGGCGCAGCGCTGGGCGAGCGCGTGCGAGCGGGCATGCGCGCAGTTTGGCAAGCATCGACACAGCGCTGAGCGAGCCGGAAGACTACGAGTCTTCTCCTAGTCTTCCCCGCTCGTTTCTCAGAATGTTGGAACCTATCTCTGTTTTCGCGTTTTCCTTTTTCCTAATTAACTTGAAACCATTGGCGCATTGGAAACAAATCGCTGGTCTGTTCTCACTTAACTAGAAGCAAGTGATAAAAGCAGCTCAACATGAATGATTTTTCAGGTAATGTTTGGGAAGTAGTGAATAGAACACAGAGAAACACTGATGGGTTTCCAGCAAATGATTACGCAGACAAAATAGAAGCAACTCAAAAACATGTCTGATTTCCCAGCTACTTTTTCTAGTTAGTTCAAAAAGAAGAAGAAAGCTAGAAAGTATAGACACTGATTGATTTTCCACCTAAGTTTTTCGAGTTACTTGGAGCAGCTAGACACGAGTGGGATAGCTTGACTGGCTTTCAAGCTATTGTTGTTTGGGACAAAGCATGCAAAGAGAAACAGAAGAACTCCAATATTTCGGGAAACGAACCTGTGACAACTGCCGGAAAACTTACGGGAACAGACTAGGACAACTATGGGAAGACCATCAGAAGACTTGGGGCGCTCGACGGGAAGACTACCGGAAGACTACGGGAAGATTATGAGAAGACTACGGGAAGGCTGCAGCAAGACCGCAAAAGACCGCAGGAAGACTGCGTTGGTCAGCGCGGTCAGCAAGGCTAACCGTCAGTCGGCGCGGTCAGACCGTCTGGCCGTCGGTCAGCGCTTTTTGCATGGTCAGGACTGCTGGCTCTGCGCGGCTGGCAGCGAGCGCGATCGGACGGCGGGCCGTCGGTCAGAACTGGCCGTCAGTCAGCACGGCTGACCGCTGGCCAGCGCGGGTCAACGCGTCAGCGCGGCTGGCCGTCGGTCAGCGCGGTAGCCCGACGACGGTTTGCGCCTGGCTGTCCAACCGCCGGTCAGCGCGGTCAACCTTCCTGCACGCTTGCGTGTTCACGGTCAGGAGCAGCACGCAAAAACGCACGATGGCAGAAGCAAGTGGAACTACGCCGGCTCGGTGGATGGCGCCGACCTTCCCACACACGCGAACTTTTGTGATGCCGCCTGGCTTGATGGCCAGGCCTCACATCAAAAGAGGGCTCACCTGGTACCTCCCTTGTCAATGGAGTACGAGCAGTTCCCAACTCGCAAGGGGAACGAACTGACAGGCACGTCGGGCAAGCTGTTGGACGGTTTCATCTCAACAACGTTGCTGCTCCAGCCAAGAAGACGCGCAACAAGTCGACGCATTGTCTTCCAAACAAAGTTTGCTCTGACATTCGCACCGCGCTACAAGATAGGACGCCTCATCTCAAGCTGGTGCACCACTTGCGGTCGGACGTGCTACTCGCTCGAGACACTCCTGCGCTATCTGCGTGATGTGCCGGGTTTCCAAGTTTGCCGCATAAGATCACTGTACGTGTCACCAACATAAATCTTTCATTGTTCTCCAAAATAGTCTACGGTTGTGTGATGGACTTTATGGTGTTGCGTCCAAAACACATTCTGCGCCGGTATAATCATGAGGCTGGTGAGTTCCAGTGTGATCTTTGGTTTTTGATCGTTCATGTGCTTTACTCTTCTCGTTTCCGATGAGATGCGTTATGTAAGTATGTTCGCTTTCCACACACAGCTGGCTTTCGTCCGTTTTCAAATGACTTGCGTGTTTCAGAGCGATGCGCTAGTGACCTGAAGTGTGACACCAAGAATCGGGTAAATGAAGATCGGTTTCATTACCTTTCCGGCTAAATGGTGGTGGACTACTTTCCTCGGTCTACGCGTTTCGATCTGGAAGATGTTTGCACAATATGACAGAATCCGGTTTGCAAAGATATCATGAGCTGGCACTCCACGATGATGCGCTTCCTATGTGTCACCTATGTGACAGTCAGCGGATTGCTTTGTGGCGAACTGTTGATCAATCCCGGATCCCAGATGTTTCACAGAGTTGGAGAAGACATCACGAAACAAAGCAATTGTCGCTTGTCCGCATGCTATGAGCGACCCAGTCTTTGATGTTAGGGCCAGACGATGAGCAGTCTTCCACCACCATTTAACCGAAAGGTAACGCAGCATTGCGCTGACACCGTCTGGAGGTGAGCTGGCGCCCCACAATGATGCTGTTTCGTGTTTGGGCCCCAAAACGTGATGCTGTTGCGAGGGCCCCGTGTTGCATGTGTGTGAGAACTTTCTGGGCAGGGCACAGCCGCCACCGCGCCGGGTTACACATCGTTTTCTAGCCGCGCGATGGACAGAGCCTTTTTGCGCCTTTCAAACCTCGTTTAATTTCCCGCAACTCCCTTGCGGTCATTGTCGCTACCGGAGTTGACTCTGACAAATCACGGAGAAGACTGGCTATCACTTGCTTACCACACATAAGGATGCATCTGGCAAGGGAGCGACCGATGGCGCCGTGCGCTAACGAGGAGACAGTGCCGAGGGGCCGTCCGTGCGCCGGTGGGACTTGGGTTGTGACGCTTGGGGTGTGTTTTGTTTGTTCCTGGAAAATCTTCATCAATGCTCAGGTATCATGAACATGCCTCACACCTTCAGGGACGAGTGCGTGGCAACTGGTGCGCAGCCATAAGTTCGTTTGAGCGCCAAGTCGTGCTTATCAAACACCTTGCGGATGTTCTAGAAGGACAGTGCCAAGTGCCAAGTTCCTCACCAGTGCGCAAATTGCCACGTGAGGCAAGCGATCCACCGATCCGAGAGTTTGGGACACTTGTTGCAATGAGCCCCTGACGCACGCGATATGCCAAACCTCGGTTGCTGGCGCTGCTCTTTGCGAGCACCTGCGTTCGGTGGAGCTTGCGATAATCGGCTTGAGACATGGCAACAGCTGACCGTGTTGGCAAACATCGCCTCAAGCCTGCTAAAGAAGGCGAAGCACACGCCCAAACTGATGCATTTGCTTGTGCCGCCAGCTGGATTTCATTTGGCTGACTGAATCCGAACACAGCCAAAGCAAACGATGCGCATGCAGGGCGGGATGCCTGAGCGGCAACCTAAGGAAGACTCAGCCAATTTGGCGTTATTAGATTTCGGGTTTGCTACAAGCACGAGCCCGGATCTCGACAGTTCTTGACGGGTGTATGCGTTCGGCAGCTGGGAGCGATGTGAGGTGAGCCTTGGGACGGCGCGGTGTGCGGAACCTTAATGTTCATGGCGCCAGAGGCCTGTCGTGCAATAGGCATAGGCGTGCGGTGTGTTGCACATGGCACCATGCGCCATGTGCGGGTTGTAAGTTGGAGGTGCTCGGGTCAACAGCAGCCACCCCCCACTTGGCCGCCATGGATGTGTGGGCTGCGTGGCGCTCAAGTCCAAGCTGGACAATTTCAATTTCTTACCCGATCCTGCGCGCGTCTGCGTGTTGTCCCTCTTTGCGAAATTTGCACTTGAAGTTCGGCAGCAATATAGAAAAATATACATAAAACAAAATACATGTATATATGACGCGGTGCCTTCAACTTGGTTCATCCGCGCTTTAGCTTCAACTGGGTATGGCTGCAGCTTGCCAAGGCAGGGGTGATACTCTATGTGCTGCTGACAGGGGATTCGCCCGGGTCTAGCGAATATCTTTGTTTTCGAGAGCATTGCCACGCTGATGAGCAGAAAGCAACACGACACCTGCGTTGCCAGATGCGACTGTGATTTGGCACAAGGCCAGCGCAAGAAGATGAGGCCACATTTTGAAGCTGCCGGTGCTGCTGCTATCTAGCACTGATTTGTGCCTCCAGGTGAGGGTCCTTGGGCGTGGAGGCCCTCCAGCTGAAGCAGCTGCTTGGCTATAATTGCAACAGTGCCAGTTGATCTGTGTACGACGCGCTTGCTGCTCATGTGGCAACCAGGTATTGGAAAAGGCATTGTCTGCATCACAGCTACGCAGTGCATCAGCAGAATCTCTGAACCTCCTGAAGCAGCTGCTGGTGCTGGACATGCTCTTTGCGGTGTCACAGTTTGATCCCAAAGTGGGGTTGAGTTTGAGAGGACCCAAGTCAGAGGATCACTGCTGAAGAAGCTTTACGGCACGATTGGTTTCACGTGGACGGATCAGTGCGCAAGGTCGATGTGTGCAGAGCTTAGCACGATGTAGGCTGTGACAGGGTCCATCCTGGTCCAGTCCTTGATGGGGTGTTAGGTTAAAAAAGAAAGAAAGGGGAAAGCATCATCCAAGCGCCTGAGTGAGTGTTTGAGAAAGAAATGCCTTTTCGTTTGCTTGAGCGGTTATTTGCCATCGGGTGGCCTTCCTTGTCCTGACATGACTGCTTCCGCATGGCATCCAGATGATACCTTTGCTTCTGCCTTGCCATGTGCCTGCGCACTGGCGGTGCAAGTGTGAAGTTTGAGGCCAGCCATCAAGTACCAGCGTCAACGCTCTGCAAGCAGAGGTTCTGAGGCGCGTCACCTGCCTTCAACATTATCACTTTGATACTTGTTTGCCCCACCATTCCATGTCAGACCCCTGCCAGGTCAGCACGCCAACGTCTGCAAAACGAGAGAAGACGCCCAAGAAGTGCTGCGCCAAGCGCAGGGAGAAATTCCAAGGTGTTTGGGCTGGCTGGGGCTTGGGGGTCGGTGCTGTGTGCCGAGGCTTGACCTGCCACAGCCGGCGTTCACACCTCTTGAGCGAATTGTGTCTGAGGGCGTTGAGGAGATCAAAGACTAGCTGCGACTCAAACGGCCGAAATAGATAGATATTTTCTCTGCGCACCTTTCCGCCTGAAACCTACCCATGGCCTATGGCGGATGCGGCGAAGGCAAGCAGCAGCCTGCGCCTTTGAAGTTGCGCTGCAGCTTGCAGGCCCAGAAGAGGCGCAAAGTGTCTCAGTCCTCCCTTTTCAAGCCGTTTTAGCATTGCTCCAGCTCTGACAAGAATTGTCGGATGGAAACGCTGAGCATTTGCCCAAAGTGGCCTTGGTTGCCTCTTTGTCCTCCCAAGATTGCGCTTTTAACGCCATGTCAGAAAGGCGCGCGACCCACAATGCACGTTGATGAATGTTAGACCTCAACACTGCAAGCAGACGTTCTGACTCTCTTTAGCGGGACGTTTTCGGGTTGGGTTGGACTTGGGCTTGCCGATGCTTAGTTTAGTATTGTCGATACTCATTTCATGTTGTTCTCAACGTTTAGATTCCCAGTGCTTAAGTTAGTATTGCCAATGCTACATTCAGTACTGCCAATACTTAATCTCAGGTATCCAACACAAAATTTTTGTGGCCAAAACGTCTCAGGTTTCCAGTTTAATCTTATTGCCAACGCATAATCTTAGGTTCGCAGCACTTGAATGTAGTATGGTTGATACAGTATTTTTGATCTGGCTGTTTTGAGGGCAGTGGCTCTTGCGGGCAACCCTCTTTGTGTGACTGTTTGGCCTTGTTTATTGAAAAGGCTTTTGGCGGCTTCAAAACCAGAAGAAGCTCGATCCGACGCCCTTAGCCTTTGAGCTGGGCAGGACTTAGACAAGCCACCCTATGAAAAGTGCAAGGCAAAGGCTTTGATCTGGTATTTTCTCAAAGCTTGGCCGCTTTTGGTGCTTTCTTGTTTGAATAGTTTTTGGGGAAACGAAAACGTGTAAAATAGCGGGAGAAGCAGTCACAGGATGCTGAATTAGGGAAACAACTTTTCAAATTGGAACCCCCAAAAATGAAAGCGGGTTCAACATAACCTCCTTGTTGGAGGTATTGGGGCAAAGGAGCTGCTTTGCTTCGTGCAACGCACGTAACCCGCATTTGCAAGGCCAGGTCGCAGCCGTGATTGATGTGCCCATACTGGCTCACGAGCTTTGTGCGGTAGCTTGTGGGGTGGCTTCACTTCCAAGCGGGATGTCAAGAAATGCCAACTGGCTTGGTGACCACTTGGCTTGAGGAGAAGGCCGGTCGCAAGCGTACTGGACTTTGAGCACGGGCTTTGCGTAGTTCTGCCAGGAGTTGCTTTGCGCAGCTTTGGGGAAAGACAATGAGGGAAAGAAATGGGCAGATTTTTCGGGAATGGTTGCTGTTTGTTTTTGCTGGGGTTCTTTTTGTTCAGCTGTTCTGGCTTTCCGGGGCGTCACTTCGCCCGTCCAATAGCTAAAGCTTAACCGATCTCAGACTGCGGCATGAGCTGCAGCATCCAACTGCGCCAAGGGCTTTGGCTTTATCGCGCCGGATGATTCCAGTTTCGGAGATTTGTTCGTCCACGTCAGCGAGCCAGGGCCCCAGTCCACGATATCCCGGATCGCCGTTTGTCTTGTCGCAGAACGCGGCTGTTCGTGGTCCCTTGCAGGGTGAGTTAGCTTTGTGCTGCGTTCTCCGTGCGCTCCCAGCTCAACATGTAGGTGTATCAAAAGACTCCGAAGCGACTGGCACGGCTTCGCCATGCTTTTGCATTTGTTTCATTGTGTTTTTCCGTGATGCTTGCTTCGCTGCGTATGTTTAGATGCTGCTTGCTGACCGCAGCTTCTTATACCAGTCTTAAGGTAATGCTCGCTACGGCAGCCTTCGCTGCATAAAGGAAGCTTGTTGCTCACGCCCCAACATTAACATGTTCAGGATTGCGGATGTGAGTTGGTAAAACGCTTGGGGATGGAAATGCGCACGTTCCGATGTAAGAGCACACCTTTCGTGGCAAGCTTTCTGGGCGCCGGAGAAAATGCAAAACAAAGCTGGGAAGGCTGATGCAGAGCGTCGACTCGTCCCATCTCAAAACTGAAAGCAAAACACGAGCTTCCGCGAACACGCGCAAACACGGACACACACACACACACACACACTTTTGGTTGGGCATGTCAGCTGCACTAATAGCGCAAACGGCATACGGCCTAAACGTCAATTTGGGCTCAAGATATTTCCCCCGGCAACCTTGTCAAGAACTGCTTCCGCACGGCGCATGGGAAGCAGAGCGGTTCTCGCTGGTTGTGGGTCAGGGCTTGGGGTGGGGTGGTTGCTTGCGCTGCCCGCTTGCTCGCTCTAAGCTCTTGGGACTTGAGTCAATTTGCAGTCCCATGCTTGTTGGTGGAGGTTCTTCCCGAAACACGGCAACATGCCTTTGACATCACTGCCAGATGATGCATAATATGTGTTCCAGTGTGGCAACCGGGACAGCCGAGCCGCATTTCAAACATGCCAGCAAGCAAGCGTGACTGCAACAACCATCACAAGGAGCACATCCAGACAGGCCAGTAACACAACCAGCACAGCCTCCTCGCGTGGACTCAATCAACTAGGGGGTGATGTTTCTTTGCCGACTTGACCGCCTGTCGTAGCACCCTCTTCATCTCCTGGACAGAAATTTCGACGACGCCGCAAGACCAAAGATCAGGAGCTGCCACCTCCCGCACATCTCAGCTTCGCAGCAAAGGAAGAAGACAGCATCTGCATCTTGCTTGCGTCGACGACTACATCATTCCCAGGCCGTCCAAGCAGGTTTCAACGACCGCGATTCTCGCGGCAGTCATGCCAGATCCTCGGAGAGAACAAACATCCCCAACACAGAGGTTCATCAGCGCTGGCTCGCACGGTTTCCTTCTTCCAAGCAAAATGATGCCGACCGCTTCGCCAAAGAATTGACAAACTCATTCAAGCTTTCTTTGCCCTGGGGAGAAGTCCACAAAGAACTGGAAGAGGCGACGTTCCACAGCTCAGGAATCAGAGCGAGAATTCCGCTCTTTCAGCCCACACTTCGATATCATACTCCGGATGAGAGCAATGACATCCTGCAGGTTGAGAGATGCAAGGAGCTCGCAGAGGATTTTCAACCGACGCAAAGCTTATCGAAAGCCGATCTCGCTGAGAGATGAACACACGGCTGGTGAGATTGCATCCTTGCAAGATTCGGGCCCGACAGCGAACCATCCTCCAGAAGACTTCTACTATGAAGATGACTTTCAGGAAGTTCAAAGAGGGAGCAGCCCGCGTCAGGATTCAAACTTCCGCAAGGCGTGAAGAAGATCGCCAAACATGACGAGATCGATGTCATCACGTAGCCAAGATCGCCGGAGTAGTCCACAGATAAGCCGGTCAACGAGCATGAAGATAACATACAACTCAAGCGCGCGGAGACGCTGAACGTTTGACCGCAAATTCGAAGATAGACCTGCGGGAGACATTCCCGCTCAACACCCACAATCCCACACGCAGTTCCACACGCGCCAATCTCACGTGCAATTCCGCGCGCGTCCGGTCGGCTGCATCTTCGAAGGTTGCTCCAGCGAGCGGGGTCGCGAAGGAAGTTATCAAGAGCCTTCATCAAGGCGGGGTTCTGTGGAATAGTAGGGAAACATCGACTTCCTGAAGGGGTAAAGCACAAACTGCTGGCGCGCAACAGCTCCATTCGCAGCAACTACTAGGGTGGTGGGAATCTTCAGGTGTTACTTTGGCCTGGCAGATGGACACAAGACGATCCCAATTACACACGACCTACGCTGATTACTGGGGTTTCGCAAGTAAAGATTGGAAGAACCGTCTCCCGCCAGCAGTGGTAGAAGGATGACGGAACAATATTTGCCGTTCATTCCCACATAGTATTGCAAGATTCTTACGCGAGATGCAAACAAAGCGGCGGATGCATGCGTCAAGCAACAAGACCCCGACTTTGGCCTGATGAACGCTCTGTCAACGAGGTGACGAGGTGGGACATCGCTGCAACGAGCAGATGGTCGCTGCTGTGAAAGGATTGGGACCAGTGCAGACAGAAACTACGGACATGCAACATCTATTCCACACAAAGAAAGGGTCAAGCAACGACCATACCTTTCCGGACTACATGACTACATATGGTTTCTGGCAAACTCAGGCTCAGTATCAGGCACGGCGCAAGATGCACGCGGGCGGGCCAAAAGCAACAGCTCCAGGATTATAATTGCTCGTCCACAGATCGCTTGAAGCACGTCAGCAACGACGAAATGCTTTCAGAGTGAAAGGGCGGGACAGAATGTCCTTTGCATCTTCAAAAAGAAGGGTCGAAGATGACGAAGAAGGACGTGAGTCTGATGTGAAGAACCGCTAGCGACAAAGCTCATGGCGCTGGTCATCAACCCACAATTGGACAATATGCAATCCAAGGGCCAACATTGGGTCACTGTGTTTTTGCTGACGTCAAGCCTTTGCCAGCAGAGCCAACTGCGACGGAAACAGCGCGCACGCGTGCGCGCGTCAAAATCGACAGTGACACCAAAGGTTGCCCACTAGACCCTGATCAGCCCAGCGGAGATCATACAACTCCAATGGCTAACTGATGCAGCAGACGGTGGAGAACTTGATGGTCTTGAAGACATTGGGAGGGTTTCCTCACAAGCCAAAAAAGCGATTGATTGATTTGTGGAAAGAACGGACCATCTTTAATTTTACAGACAGGTTGCTGAAGGAGATAGAAACCTCGTCAGGGCCGGCAGCGTAGGAGAATTGCGCGCTAATCGCAAACTGTTGCGAGTCCGCCCATTGCGCCAGCCAAACAAAGGCCTTCAGCTTTGAAACGTTTTTTGGAGGAAGCCAGATCCTGCCGTCTACACACCAAACTGGCGACGGCAGCGCTTTGAATAGCACGCGCTGTCGCCCGCAAGGGGTCGTTTGCGCGCATGCTGTAGACATTTCTCGCCCTCCTGTTTCTTTCCCGAACGCGGAGCATAGGGTTCTCATTTCATCTTAGGGGTCTGGGGGTGAAGCCTTGTTCGCCTGGTGTTGTGCAACCGTCCGAAACCGTTCGTGTGATTGCGCTATGGCTCTCCCAGTGGGGAAGCGCAGTTTTGATGACTTGTGATGTGCTGTTTTCGTTGGCCCTGTGCACGAATCGTAGCTTCTCAAGCTCGGCGTGTCGTTTTGCTGCGCAGGCGCAGTGTTTTGGAAGGCTGCGTGTTCTCGTTGCCGTGCCAGTGGGATTTGGGACCCAGGGATGGTCGCTTTGAGGTGTCCTGCTTGGCAGGCGCGTGATAGTGTTTGCGCCGGCGCAGTTTTCGTTGGCCCTGTCGTACAATCGACTTGTTTTTGCGAG